CACTCTGTACCAACATGAAATAACCTAGGACAGAGACAGTCAGAGACCTAGACTACCAGGAACAAAGGATTTACATTTACAGGTAGAAAAACCCTCCCACGACTCTTTAAAAAAAAAAAAAAAAAAAGTATATTTTATATTCTACAACTTAAGTTTCCTTAGAAAGTGAAGTAACTGAATCGCAAGGACACACTAGAATATTCCATGGTGCTATTTTACCAAAAAATTAAAAGAAAATAAAATTGTCCAGACGAGTTCTTCATCTACACATCACCTGGCAGGAGAGAGAAAGATAAAATCAGTTAGATAAACCCAGGCCAGCTGCAGTGGGCTGGTAGAGCTGGGCCAGAAGGGTCTCTGGCTTCTCCCAGAGACCCTGAGCAGAGCAGATGCTGCAGCTCTTGCTCCAGGCACTCACCTGGCCCTGCTCTCAGTTGGCGTTTCTCTGGCGGACGTTCTTGTCCTTGTGGTTTGTGGCATTGCTCTTCCTGGGGAGGGAGAAGGGACATGAGGAAAGGGAGAGCAGAAGGTTCCCCCACCAGCACCCCTCAGCCATTAATGAAATTCAGGTCCAAGCAGAGGGTGCAGATCAGATCCCAGAGCAGGGTCAGACCCCAGCGCCACCCCAGGGTTGTGTGGTTTACACATGGGGACATCAAATGAACCATGAGGGGACATCTACCCCCACTGAGTATTATCCCACACCAGCCAGCTTTTATCTTTGCATAAAGCTTTCATCTTTGGAGCAGATTCCCTGGCTGGATGAGATCTACCAGTACAAATCTGGCAAGGTACTCACAGTGGTGCAGAGCCTCCATCATCATCTTCACATTCAGGACAGCACAGAAAGAGAAAGCAAAAAACAAACAGTCAGGGAAGAGGACACACAAAGTGACCTCTGCCTCCCCTTAAAGCAGTGGGAATGGCATTCCAGGCAGCCATTCCTCCACCACTGAAAACTGGGGAGGGCAGAGCTCCTCTGGTGAGATCAGCTGCCCTGATCCACCCCCTGTGCTCACCCCCACGGCACCAGGACTTGGGATGGCTCCCAGATCCCAGCACACTCACAGCAGGTAAAGGGGAAGCCAAACAGGATGTTTCAGGAACGAGGCTCTAAGCAGCAGCAGCAGGAAGCCCTTCTCCCTCCCCACACGTTGTGACATCAAAACAAACACTGCACACCACGTTCTGAGCAGCACAGCTAAGGAAACACCTCTGCCAACACGTGCCAAGCCCTGCAGCCTTTCACCAGCTCCCTGAGATCTGCCACCTCCCTACAGGAGGCTCCCAGGTGTCTCCTTTGCTCCCCATCACCGTTTCTCCAGCCCTGGCTGCCCTTCAGTCCCAGGCTCTGGGCACTGGGGCTGCCCTGGGCACCAGGATCTGGTGAGAGGAGGCAGACATGTGGCTGGAACTACCTTCTACTTACCACGAGAGGTGGCACCCAGCAGCAGAGAAAGGAAGAGTGGACAGGTAACACCAGCAAGGATAGCACCCCAAAGACAGGCCAGACTGTCCCCAGCCCAGCCCAGGTGACAGGAGGGTCCAGTTCACACAAAGTACTGGGGAGAACTGGCTCAGACAGGTCACCTGTCACCCTTCAGAAGGAACAAAGCTACAGAGACTTTGGGGCAGAAAAAAACACTTTATACACGGCAGTGAAAGCCATGTGTGTTCACCAAAGGGGTGTGATGCTGTGTCCTCATCCATGAGCATTTAGGAACTTGAGCTCCTCTTGCCAAGGAGCATCAGGACATGTCAGCACACTCACCTGCCTGTCAAAGCATCTGCTACAGCTCTGACAGGTCAGCACCCCACAGCCCTGGGCTGATGCCATCACAAACCAGATCACACAGTGGTTTTGCTGGGAGATGCGGCTACAAAATCCTTAAGACAGCGTTTGCCTTCTCAGCCAGGGGTGTCAGAGGGCAAAACACCTGCTTGTAAAACTGCCTCGAGTGGAATTCCAAGCCCTGCAATCAGGGGAGGGATCTGACCTTTCGGCCCTGTGCTGCACCTCTGCAGAGCCTGCTCCTCGCAGGGGGCCAGGGGCGCTGCAGGACCCCGGGCAGGAAGGATGCAGAGCATTCACACCGCATTGTTAACAGCATCAGATAAAGGAGGCCGGGAGCTGACACAATGCAGATCCCCAGCGATAAGGAAAGGGAGGAGCTGGTGCTTCCAGAACAGATTACAGATAGTACCGGGGTCTTTTGAGACGCAGGATGTGTGGATCTGATGACCCAAAACATCCTGAACTGAACACAAGTTAAGCTAAGCCCGGTCTTACAGAGCCACTGACACAGTCCTCCCAGCTCTGCAGCACCACAAAAGCTCGAGCACTTATTTACAAACCACCTTGTCCAGAGTGGGAGCTGCCAAAGCAAATCCAGCCCTGCGGACACTCGGGGGAAGCAGAGGAACTGGTGAGACAAAGGGTCGGGCTGACCTGCTCAGAGCTCCAGATCTCACTGCAGGACTGCCACAAACAGCACAGCTTCACGGCTGAAGTACAGACTGGCTCCTGAAGCTCCTGAACCACCCCAGCTATACTCTAGGAACTCCGAACCCCCCACAAGCCCACCCCAAACCGCTCTCCCCACCCAAACCCCGGCTCCTCTCACCATCAGGAACCTCATCCGGCTTCCTCCTCTTCTCGTAGATGAAGATGATGGTGACAAGCACCAGCACCTCTGCCACGATGCCCAGGAAGGGCCAGAGCGCTGCCAGGCGGCTGCGGACGCGCAGGCTGACGGTGGCGTTGCCGGTGCCCAGGGGGTTGGCGGCGTTGCAGAAATAATCGCCCGTGTCCTGCTCGATGTCCAGCTTCAGGATGCGCAGCTCCGTCTTGTTGCCGCCGGACTTGATGATGTATCGCCCAGAGGCGTTGTCCAGGCGCTGCGGGGAGAGGGAATGGGGAAAATGGGTGTTAGGGGGTCGGTCCTTGGCAAATGTTAAATGGGTACTGCGTGTGTTGTGTTAGAAAGTTATGCTGTGTTGTGAAAAATGTGTATTTATAACATAGGCTCTTCACAAATATTCAATAAATACTCTAGGTGTTATGTTAGAAAGTTATGCTCTATTGTAAAAAATGGGTGTTTATACCATAGGCTCTTCACAAATATTCAATAAATACTCTGGGTGTTATGCTAGAAAGTTACACTCTATTGTGAAAAATGTGTATTTCTACCATTGGCTCTTCACAAATATTCAAATGAATATTCTACGTGTTGTGCTACAAAGTTATGTTGTATTGTGAAAAATGTGTGTTTATACCATTGGCTCTTCACAAATATTCAATAAATACTCTATGTGTTATGTTAGAAAGTTATGCTCTGTGAAAAAAATGTATTATATGATGGCTCTTCACAAATATTAAAATTAATATTATATGTGTTATGTTAGAAAGTTATGCTCTGTGAAAAATGTGTATTTATACCATTGGCCCTTTGCAAATATTAAAATGAATATTCTATGTGTTACGTTAGGAAGTTATACTGTATTGTGAAACATTTGTGTTTATACCATTGGTTCTTCACAAATAAAATTAATACCATACGTGTTATGTCAGAAAGTTACACTCTATTGTGAAAAATGTGTGTTTATACCATTGGCTCTTCACAAATATTCAAATGAATATTCTACATGTTGTGCTAAAAAGTTTTGTTGTGTTGAGAAAAATGTGTATTTACACCATTGGCTCTTCACAAATATTCAATAAATACTCTATGTGTTATGTTAGAAAATTATGCTCTGTGAAAAATGTGTATTTATACCATTGGTCCTTTGCAAATATTAAAATGAATACTGTACTTCACAAATATTCAAATGAATACGTGTTATGTTAGAAAGTTATACTGTGTGAAAAATGGGTATTATATGATTGGCTCTTCACAAATATTAAAAAGAATATTCTATGTGTTATGTTAGGAAGTTATCCTGTATTGTGAAAAATGTGTATTTATACCATTGGCTCTTCACAAATAAAAATACCATATGTGTAACGTTAGAAAGTTATGCTGAATTGTGAAAAATGTGTATTTATACCATTGGCTCTTCACAAATAAAAATACCATATGTGTAACGTTAGAAAGTTATGCTGAATTGTGAAAAATGTGTATTTATACCATTGGCTCTTCACAAATAAAAATACCATATGTGTAACGTTAGAAAGTTATGCTGAATTGTGAAAAATGTGTATTTATACCATTGGCTCTTCACAAATAAAAATACCATATGTGTAACGTTAGAAAGTTATGCTGAATTGTGAAAAATGTGTATTTATACCATTGGCCCTTTGCAAATATTCAAATGAATACTATAAGTGTTCTGTTAGAAAGTTATGTTATATTATAAAAAATGTGTATTTATATGATTGGCTCTTCACAAATATTAACATGGATATTATATGTGTTATGTTAGAAAGTTATGCTCTGTTGTGAAAAATGGGTATTATTTGATTGGTTCTTCACAAATATTAAAATGAATACTCTATGTGGTAGAAAGTTATGCTGTACTATGACTGGCTCTTCACAAATATTAAAATGAATACTCTATGTGGTAGAAAGTTATCTGTACTGTGAAAAATGCATATTTTATGATTGGCTTTCTGCAAATATTAAAATTAATATTATATGTGTTATCTTAGAAAGTTATGCTGTATTAATCTCTTTTAAATAGTGTGGTAAATATAGTTTTTAGGCTGTAGCATAAACTATGTGATGTAAGATACTTTTTGTAACTAGCTTAATGTGAAAAATGCGTATTTTATGATTGGCTCTGCACAAATACTAAAATGAACATTATATGTGTTACGTTAGAAAGTTATGCTGTGTGAAAAATGCCTATTATATGATTGGCTCTTCTCAAATATTAAAATGAATATTCTATGTGTTATGTTAGAAAGCTTTGCTGTATTAATTTTCTTAAGTAGTGTGGTAAATATAGTTTTAGGTTATAACAATGTTAAAATAGAAACTCTGCTATATAAGACACTTTTCTAAGGAGAGGCACTTGCACTGAGATAGCAGCCACAGGACACCTAAAGCTTTCAGCACTTTTTTAAGGAGAGGAATGAGGCACTTGCACTGAGATAGCAGCCACAGGACACCTAAAGCTTTCAGAGAAAAAGAATATATTGCTCCATTATCAGAAGAAATGAACTTCTTCCTGCCTCGCTCAGCTCAGGATTCAGAGGAAGATGTTGACCAGACAGAATCCTGTGCTGGAATGGAATTCATGCACCATGCCTGAGGTGTATGAATATGCAACAGGCTGTTGTTTTTAAGGGTTAATCCTCTGTCCTTTTTCGGGCTTATTTTGCCCAGAAAGAGGTACCTGGACTGTCTGTAACTCTTTGTTTTTATTGTCATGTATTGTCCTAATCCTAATTGTCCAAATTTTTTATTAATCTAAATATATTACTATTTTTATAACCATTTTATTACTATTCAACTTGAAAAATTTTAAAACCAAGTGATTGGCATTTTTCACAAGGAAGAAGAGGGATCTCAGGGTTTCTCTTTGAGCTGGGTTTTATGGGCTTTTAGAGAACCTATCACACTTGAGACAGCCCAGCTACCTTGAATGGCATAAAACTAGCAGGATGGCTTTTGAGGTAGTGCTGGAAACAGAAAAAGGTTTAATAAAAGGCAAAATAACAAAACTCTTACAGAGAAAAACTAAGCCTAGGGGCAAGAGGATCTTGCTCCTGGTAAAACACCCCACAAAAGCAATTATTTCCTTTGTTCTCTTCCTTTTCTAGTGAATTACCCAGGTGGGACCTCTTGGCCTCTGTCCAATGGACAGCCCCAGGTCTGAGGTGAAGTCCCAAAGGTCCTGTGAGGTGTCTTTGTACCAAATTGGGAGAGAAACTTCTGGGCTTTTTGCCTTTTCAAGCAGACAAAAAATAATTTAGTCACTCCGTCAACACGGGGCACATTCCTACATCAGGGCAGCGCTGACCACCACAGAAACCCCCCTCGTGGGGAGCACTGAGCTTTGGAGCAATTCTGGTGCCACAAGGACTGGAAGGAGGAGCAAACCACAGCACTTACCCCGTGCCCACTTTTGTGCCAGGTCCAAGTGGTGACAGCAGGGAAAGAGGGATTCTTGCAGGTCAGCACACCCGTGTCCCCCTCATTGCCATGCTCTGACTTCTTGTAGGCTGTCACCTGGGGGGGAACTAGGCAAGAGGGGGGAAAAAAAAAATAAAATTTGGACATGTCATTACAGAAGTCACACAGATTTGTGCTTCCTGCAGCCCACCCCACCAGAATCAGCTACCCCAAAACCTCAGTCAGGTTGTTCCTCTCACTAGTTTGGCATTCTTAAAGAGGGAAGTGCAGCAAGCCGCTTCAAGGAAAGGCTCAAACGGATTTGCTCAGCAGGTGTTACCCCTCTATCCATTATTCCTGTGGGAACAAGCCCACAGAAGGCTGGTTTAATGCCAGATCCCAGGGCTGACCCTGCAGACACTGGAATGGCCTGATAACAGCACTGCCTCTCAGAGAGAACCCTGCAGCCAGATGAGGGCTGGGGGCAGCTGAAAAGACACCTCAGCAAAGTGTTCAGGAGGTCACAGCCTCCCCACGCCCCTCCTCAGGCCCCAGGAGCAAAGAGATGGAATTACCAGAAATATTCACTTCTCCTCTTATCTGCGGGTTCGCTTCGAAGACGCACTCGTAGATGCCAGAGTGCTCCTCAATCTTCCCCTCGATTCTGCCAAAAACAGGACTCAGGTGAGCATCCAGCAAACTCACCCAGTCTCCAGACTCACGGAATCACACACCCAAGCACCAGCAGCCTCCTCCATAGCAAATTTCCCCCGTTCCAGCAGAATATTTAGGCTGCACTGTGTACCCAGGGCAACCCAAGCCTCCACTCTCCTCACACACTGAGGGTGGCAGGAGAGGCTTTCACGTGCACCACATCTGATCACTGCTGCAGCTCAGTGAAACACAGGGCAAAGCAGTGGCAAAGATCACCCAGGCCGTGCTGCTTTGGATTGACCCCCTCACAAGAGAAAAACCCTGACATTCTCCTGGCTGTAAAGCTGCTGCAATGAGATTTAGTGGATTACGCAGCCCTGCAACAAACATCCCATTCTGCTGCTCAGTAATACCCACTCGAGGGAAGGGGCCCACACTTTGTCCCATGGCTGCGCCGGGACAAGGGGCTGTTTGTTAGCTCTGCCCTGCACGGCGCTTCCCACTTCCAAAAACCACTCAGCTGAGGAATTGAGGTCACGCGAGGGAGGCTGGGTTATAAATACTTTAATCCCTGTTCAGCTCCCTGTTGCTATGGGGAGACAGGCACGTCGGCACTGCCATACAAAGGGACATGATGCCTCCACAGCTGCTGGGTCACTGCCAGCCAGGCCTGACTGTAATCAGAAAGGAAAGCTCACTGCACTGCCACAATAAGGCTGGTGCTGCTGTACCCAGCACGGATCAAAGCTCCCCAGCTCCTTCTGGGACTCTGGAAGGGACACAAAGCCCCAAGGAGACACAACATGCACTGGAGCTCTTGCTCCGTGCACAGGGAGCAGGCAGCTGGTGGCCTTCAGAGCTCTGAACAGCCAGAGTCCAGCTGAACACCTGCTTCAAATCAGGAAATCTCTTTCTAAGAGGATATTTGTGGCACAAAACTGCCCCTTCCTCCTCCTTTTCGCTGCCCTCCTCCCCATAAAGGAGAGTGCTGGGCCTTACCAAAACTCTGTTAAACTCCACGGTCCCTAAGCCCCAACCCCCATCAGCAGGGCTGCAAGAACTCAGCCCAGGCTCCAGCTGCCAGCAAACAGCAGCTGCCTTCTGGGACAAAAACCTGCCCGTGCCCAGGCTCTGGCCTTGCCCTGACACTCACGTGTAGCTGGTTAAAGCACCCGAGTTGCTGTCCTCCTCCAGGACCTTCTCCTTGTGAATCCACTTGTGGCCCGTGATGGTGAGGTGTGGTGCAGATATGTTACAGCTCAGGATCACCTTGCCAGAACTCTCAGAGACACCAGTAGTAATTTCTGGACCTGCATTCATAAAGAATTAGATTTGAGTTAACCCAGGGTTAACGGCAGAGCTGACGAGGTGCCCAAGAACCTGCAACGCAAACCCCACAGCTCCTTGTCTCTATTCCCAGCTGCCACTTACCTTCACACAGTTCCCTACCACACCTGGCCAGCACCAGAGAGTCCCCAAGGCCAGGTGAGCAGGCCTGGGATGGCCACGCTGGCCCTGCAGCCGCTCCCCCACGAGCAGGCTCGCTGCTGTGTCCTGCATCGCTCCAGTCTCCGCTGCCCCTCCCACGGGTGCAGCCCCAGTGCTCAATAAGCAATGGAAAAGGTCACTCTGAAGGGCAGAGCACGGCTCTCTGCTGCTGTGAGCCACCACAGCGCTCGTGTGTCAACACCTCCCAGCACCTGAGCAGCTTCAGACACCTCCAGGCAGCACAGGGGGAGCAGACAGGATCATGTGGCAGCCCAAAGGGCTCGGTCAGAATGACTCCAGGGAGAACACAGAGCCGTGGCTCCGACAGGTCCTGGGCCTCCATGAGCCAGGCAGCAGTAAATTATGCAAGCTAAGATGACTCAGGCATTTCTACTTGTAGGAGGCTGTCCAAGAAGGCAGCTGCCATCAGCAGCACCACTGCACAGCCCCGGTGCCACTACAGCCCTACCCTTCCACCCCATCTCCATCCCAGCTCCTGACAGGCGTTTTGCATTTCCTCCTATCCAAACTCCGCTGGAAGAAGGGTTCTGCTGGAGTTCTGCACTCCATAGCACATTTCTGCTGAAAAGGCAGCTCTCCTAACTCCAGCACTCACGGGGAGACCTTAGCAGGACTTTAATCCCCCTCCCAGGTTTCTATCTGGAAGCAGCCCGGGCGCTGCGGCGTTCACCCGCCCGCTCTGCGAGGGGGAACCCGGCCACGTCCAGGGCACAAGCAACAACACCAACACTCAAGTGTCACACAGACACGGCCACTTCAAAAACGGTTGCACCTCAGACCTCAAAGCAAGATTTGTTTTCTCAACAGTCTGGGTTTCACCAGCACGGAAGCGAGCTCAAAGCAGGGCTGCTGGAAGGAGCGGGAGCTGTACGAGCCGCAGGGAAGGGCTGCTGGTCAGTGGTGGTTAGGGCAGAGGCGACCACAGAATGAAGGCTCAATTCTGCAGCCAGCACCGGGGCTCGGAGGCGCTCGGGAACAGATTCCAGGTTCCTTGGCTCCGGAAAAGGCGCGGGATCGCCGGAGGGCGAATTGATTGGGAAGCCACAACCCTTTTTGAGCAGGGCCATTCCGGGTCAAGTCACAGGTGGTGGTGGGGAGATCGACAGAGGGTGGGAGTCTCTCACTTCTACAGCTGGGGTGGGAGGGTGGGGGGAGCTTTCGGGAGGGCACGGGTGCAGGGGTGAGCACGGCAGGAGACTCAAGACACCGGTGTCCGAGCAAGTGCCAAGGCCTCGGCGTGGCCACTCACGTTCGATGACAAAAACGTTCGCCTGGGAACGGATCCACTTGACTTTGGGGCTCTTCGACAAGTGGTTGCGGTCGGGGTCGTTGCTAGCCCGGCACTCATACATGCCCGAGTCGTCGCCCGTGAGGTTGGCGATGGAGATGGTGCTGGTAGAGTGCAGGTTGTAGGTGGCGTTGATTTTGACACGGTCCTGCCGTGCGCCATCCCAGAGCTGAGCATAGGTCTCATTGGGGTCGTTGCCCTCAAACCACCACTGGATCTCGGGGATGGGATTGCCAATCGCCTCGCAGTACAACTCCACGCTGTCCTGAGCCAGTCTCTTTTGAGACAGCGGTGACTTTATAAAACCAGCTATGAGTTGAAGAGGTATTAGTGCAAAGTGTTAGTGCAAAGCAAGAATTCACCTTCCACAAGCAAAAACAACCCTCGGTGACTGAGGAGAGGCTGCACGCTGTCTCCACATCAGCGTGCTCTTCCCTCCCTCCCCTCCACACTCTGCCTGGCTCAGGCAGGGCTGCTCACTTGCATTTCGCATTTCCACTGCAAAACCAGCGCTCAGTGCGTGCCACTATCCAAACTGGATGCCCCTGGCATCTCCCACCTGCTGTGAGGCACAGCCCAAAGCCCCTGTGCGGCCTCTAAGCAGGATAAAAACACTACATTTGCGTTTCAGGGGCTTATGCAGCCCCCACATCCCCCAGCCTGTGCTCTGGCAAGGTGTGCCCAGGTCACATCACCACGTGGAAGGCAGCAGGACCCTGACCGAGCCCCCTCAGAGACAGTTTGAGTGAGAAAACTACAACGGGAAAAAGGCTTCAGTGAGCCCCTGTGGCCCCAGGAGGAACGTGTCCATTCCCCCTCGCTGCACAGCCCCGGGCTGCCTGGCTGTAATTCGGAGCTGGCCGGGGCCCAGGCCCCCCCTCGCTGGCCGTGGCACAGCCACACGTACCAGCCACCAGCCCCTGGCCTGCCCACACCCTCCTCCCACCCCTCAGCCCCCCAAGGTGCCCAGCAGGAACTCCTGAGCACAACACCAAGGTACGAATTTTTTGGGGGGAGGAGGAAAGTCTTGTAGACCGCAAGACCTCACGAGCCAGGTGAGGAAATTTGTAAATTTGTTGTCGTACAAACAGTGAAATCTAACTTTTCATCTCAGCTTGCAGAGCTGAACTGGCGCCCAACAGACCAGAGGCACAGGCAGCAGCTGCAGGCTGGAATTGGGGTATTTTTCACTCTGCCCTTGCAGCCAGAAGGTTCAGTGCTGGAATCAGCCAGTCCAAAGGTCGGTCCCTGCAGTGGAGCTGCCAAACACCCTCGGGCTCCAGGGTAGGCATGGGGCAGCAGCCACAGCCCCAGGAGCCTTCCCAGGACAGGCAGGAAGGGAGGCTCAGCAGCTCCACTTCGGGAAAAACCATCAGGCACAAGTGGAGGTCACTACGTGACTCACCCCCAGCCAGATTTCAGAAGGAGCTGAGCTTGAGACACATCCTTCCTGTACTAACAGGCAGCTCGCACCCCAAGAACCTTCCAGGAATTAATCTGCTCAGTTAAAAGCACTTTGTGATTATACACAACCCTCCACGGATGCACCGTGACGTACAGGCACAGAGGAAGAGGGCTTAGGAGAAGTTTTTGGGGGGTTTTGAAAGCCTGAAGATGTTTTAACAAGAAATCCTAAGGCTGCTTTTTGTGAGAACAAAAAGGAACGAAAGAATTTGAGGAACAAATCAGTGTCACAAACCCAAGTTTGCTCAAACTCAAGAAAGACAAGTTAGCCTGTAAGCTAAGCTTGACTCCTAAAAAAATTAATTCCACGTTTTTCAAAGGAAAAACTAACTTTTCCTACTAAAGCTATGAAAGTCTTGAAGAATAAACATGGCTGAACAAGAAAGAACCCCCCATTGTGGGGTGACCAAAGCACTCTTAGGAGAAGGCAGACAGGAATTTTAACTGACCAGGAGGTTCAGGGGTACCCAGAGATGTTATGGGATGGGGCTATCAGCTGTCTTCCACCCTCAGAACCACTGCCCTGCATGCCAGAAGGGGTTTTTCCACACCACAGGCCTGTGATCAAACATTCCCAGCCCTGCCAAGCCCTGGAAGTGCCCACAGCACTTGCCCGAGCCCGTCTGCCGCAAGTGCAGCCCGAATTAAAGCGGGAGCTGCTAAAGATCAAGGGTGTTACAGCTACAAGGTGATTACTGTACGCTGACAAAATAAGCTGTGCAAGGTTATTTGCTCCGGGTTAGAGGGTACCTGGTGCAGTTCAAACAGGTTAAAAGGCTCCAGCAAGCAGCAGCAGCAGCGAGTACCACTTGCATTCCCATGGGATTAATGCCCTCCCTGTCCCGAGCAGGAAATCCCAACCCTGGGCTGGGGAAAGTGCCTGTTGAGCCCAAGGCACAGGAGCATGGCCAGCACCAGCCCATCAATCCCCTGGGATCGATCAGGGCTGCTGCCACATTTCCCAGAGGGTGACAGGCTGCAAGTGGGGCTGAGCTCCCAAAGCCCAGACGCTCCCCACAGATCTGAGCTGGATGTTTCCCCGGGCACAGCGTGGTATCTGAGCCAGCAGGACAGGCAGAGAGACCAGATAACATTCTCCAGAGTCACCTTCAAACTAAAAACAACCTCTCCCCCCGCAGAGGGAGGAGTCCCCGGGGTGTTAACAGCAGTGGGATGTGCTCAGGGTGGCAGAGCCTGGCCAGAGCCACACTGGGTCCAGCTTCCTGCCTGGCCTGACCTTTGTTTCTCGGTTTGGGATGGGGATAGTTGAGGATCTAACCCTTTTGGCCATTTAAAACAGCTATAAAATCTGCCCTTAAGCTTTGCACAGCCAGGTCAAAGTCAGGGTCCCTCCCCCTGAGGGCACAGAGTCCAGGCACACACTGACCCATGCTCCGTGGGGCGAGATGCTATCCAGTCTGCTCCTTAGAGCCAAACCTAAACACTGCTGAGAGGCCAAACTTTTCAGGCATCACTCTGCCCCACACCAAGCCCAGGCATGGCCAGGCAGGACACGGGCATTACACAACTGATGGGCCAGCCTGTCCCTCCAGGGCTTCCCACAGCCGGGACAGGAGCTGTCTCCTCCTCATCCCACTGGTGCCAGCCCCGAGGCTGGAGGGAGCTGCCAGGAAAGCCTCAGAGGCACAGAGGGAGCGGGATGTGGCCAAGCCGGGCAGCTCCAGGTGAAAATCTGAGCTTTAGAAGGAGGCTCTGCCCTGCGGAATGAAAACGCGGTTCTGGAGAAGAAACTATTGGAACGCACTTTTCCCGGGATCCTCCCGCTCTTTCGCCTTCGTTGCCAGGGTTTGGTTCTGCCGTGCTGAATTAAGTGCAAATAGGCTTCAAATTGTTTAAGTATTCAAACGGGGAGCAGCCAGGACCGGCTGCCAGCCACAACCCGAGCCTCTTCCCAAGGGCTGCTCCAGAGCCCCGCGGGTTTGCCACGAGCTCCTCCAGAACCTGCCAAGGTGGAGCCCAGCCCAGGGCAGAGCCCTGCGGGAAGAGCTCTCGGTGCCCACCGGGGGCTGCGGAGCCGCCGCCCCGCACCGGAGCCGCTCCGCCCCGCGGATTATCCCGAACATCTTTAGGCTTTAAAGACTCCTCGCTGCTCCTCAGCCGCGGTAAACCGGAGAAGCGGCTGCGGGGGAATAAACTCCTCGGTTTTCCTAAGGAGAAAACAACCCGGCGCGGCTGAAAGCACCGGCGGACCCGGTCGCTCCTCCGGTTAAAGCGACCACCGGGCACGCGGCGCGCCGGGGCATCCTCCGCCCGAGCTGCGGGACTGCCCGAGGGCTGAGCCGAGCCCGGCCCGGCCCGGCCATTCCCCGATAACCCCAGGGCGCCTCCGCTGCCCCGGCCCCGCCCGCCGCGGACGTGCCCCGCCGCAGGCGCCCGCGCCGCCGCTCCTCCCCCCACGCCCGCCGCTCCCGGAGCCGGCCCGGAGCCCACCCGCGGGGCTGGGATCGCCAAGGCCCCTCGGAGCCCCCGGCAGGACGCTCCTCCGTCCAATCACCCCCGGAGCCCCCCAGTGGACCCCCGCCACCCCGGGCCGCCCGCATGGAGCGCCCCCACCCCAGCCCAGCCCAGCCCAGCCCGGAGCCACCCCGGCTCGCCCCGGTCCGGTCCGTACTTGTCCCCGCGGCGCCGGCGGCCATCGAGCACAAGACGAGCAGCGCCAGGAGCGCGCGCGTTCCCGCCGCGCCCGCCGCCATCTCCGCACGCGCCCCCGCCGCGCCGCACGCGCGCTATAACCGCGACCGGGGGCACCGGGGGAGAGGCGGGGCCATGGCGGGAACCGCCTTCTGGCCCCTCCGGTCAGCCAATCGCACGGCGCTGCGCCGCTCAGATCCCGCCCTTTCGTCCCGGTGCGGCCAATCAGAGAGAAGATCACGCCGAGCGCCTTCTCCTCTCTCCCGGCCCCGCGGGCAGAGCCGGTTCGGGCCGGTCCCGCCCGGCCACGCCCACCGGCCGGGGCAGCCAATGGGGACGCGCCTTGGGGGCGGGGCTGAGGGTCCCGGGGGTGCCCCCGGTGCGGCCGCTGCCCCGGGCGGCTCTGAGACCGCGGAGGGATTGGGGGGGGGTGAGGGAGGCGAGCAGGTCTGCACGTGTCCGTCCCTGCCGAGCCGGGGCACGCACGCACCGGGGGGAGCACCGGGACGCACACGGCCCCCAGGCCATGTGGCTCCTCGGGGCGCAGCGTGGGCAGAGTCACGGGGGAGCCAGCGGGTGCTCGGGCAGGCGGGTCCCCGGGCAGCGCCGGCAGCCGGCACGGTTGTACCGGAGGCACGCAGAGGTTCCCGGTGGCTCCCGGGGGTACACGGGGTGAGGCAGGGCCGCCTGCGGGTCTCCCGCACAGCGGGATGCGTGGGAAGGAAACCGGGCAGCGCTTCCTCAGCGCGGGGAGCCCGGCACAGACAATGGCTCCTGCGGACAGCGCGGGGCCGCTGCCAGGACTGACCGGCCGGACCCGGCCCGTCCCACAGCCCCGTGCTCAGGGCTGCCCCGAGCTGCAGGAATCGCTCTCAGCCGGACCGTGCAGTCCGTGCGGCCAGGGGGTCAAGTCCCAGCCTCAAGTCCCAGCTCCAGCCCAGCTGGAGCTGCCGGATAACCCCGAGGGGCTGGGCAGGCAATAGCCAGCAAGGCAGCTGGGCAAAGAGGCCTCTGCAGGACAGCGGCTTTGTCTCAGCTCCACTCTGAGTCAGCCATGGAGGACTCACGGCAGGGGGTACTGGGCAGGGGGGCAGGAAAAGCCAAAACAATGGGGCCATAGGCGCCAGCCCCCACTACGCGCTCCATGGGGATCTGCCAGCTCTTCCCGGAGCATTTCTTGCCCGTGTCCCGCCCAGCCTCATCCACTGGGCATCCGGGCTCCCCCTGCGCCGGGGGATTTGCAAATGCGGCGCCTGTGGTGCAGAAATTCGGCGGGGTGTGGTGCCCATGGCACCCGCGGGCTGAGGAGCTGGTCCTGATCTGGGCAGCCTCCAGCATCCAGCACTGGGGAGGGAAGTGGCCACAAAGAGCCAGCAGAGGCAGGGGGCACGTGGGCACGGCCATGCAGATTTGGGGTGCACAGAGCAGCCCCCCAGGAAAGGAAGGAGAGGCTGGCTGTGAACAAGCAGCCGGGGGTGCTGCTCCATGCCGGCCGGGCCGGGTGACCTTGGAAGCCGTTTGCCAGGCCTGAATAAAGCGACAATAATCCTATTCACCTTTTAGCCTCATTTCCTAAGGCAATAAAGCACATGCCCTCGCCGCGTGCAGTCGCAGGTGTCACTCAAGCCCTGATCCCATTTGCACGACTCCAGCCGAGGGAAGTTTTGCTCATTACCCCTCTGACGAGCTTTGTGCAGCAGGGGCAGAAGCCCCAGGCAGGCTGTTTGCCAGGGCCTCGTCCCTGCCCTGGCTCCGAGGCTGCTCACCCCATCCCAGCCGGGCGAGGCGCCGGCAGCGCCCCGGGCTGGGAGCTCACCGCAGTCTGGGGAGCTCCCCGCAGCCTCCTGAGCCCGCATGTCCCAGCCAGTTCCAGTCTGTGGGCTCAGGGCACACCCAAACGGGATCAGAGCAGCCCTGGGCATCCATCAGCTACCACTGAGCACAGCCAGGCACTGCCCAGGCAGGTCTGCTGCCTGCAGAGGAGGGAAAAGGCAAACACCTCTGTGCAGCACCGGAGGGTTTGGCCCAGGCAGAGACTCAGTGTTGGCTGCAGCTCCAGGGCAGAGGCACTGAATGTGACCTGGGAAGGGCAGAAATGCTCTCCAGACCAGAGGCAACCCTGCCCAGACCCTCCTGCCCACTCTGCAGGGTGGAAAGAGGGTTAGTGTGAGACCCACAGCTGCCCTGCAGCCCCAGGAGAGAGCAGCCAACCCATCCACCCACAGCTCCATGCCAGTTCATGTCTGACACAAATCCTTTTAGCCTGGGCAGAACCTCACTCATGCATCACAACACTTCCCTGGAAGAACTTTATTAAATAGTGTCCAAAAAAAGAAAACAGAAGCAGAAATACTCAGCATGACCCCATCCCTCCCAGCGAGTTCAAAACCACAAACAGACTATCCCCACATGCCAGTGCTGGTGGCTGCTGGGCAAGTCCTCCCTGGTGTCCTTCTCCCTGTGAACACAGCTCCAGCATCATGGGCAGGAAAGGCAAAAGGGTCCTGTGGGACAGCCCAGATGGCTGCAGGATGAACCCTAAAAGATGCTGAAAGCCAAGACAGCACTCACATGTTGCCCCCCCACCAAAGTAACCACTCACCACCCCCACCAGCTCCCCAAACTGCTCCTACCCTGTGGGGCTGAAGAGAAGCTGAACCGACCCAAATGAGGGGCAGCCAACACCAGGCCTGGTTGTCACTCCTCAGCCAGGCAGAGACACCAGCACCTCAGTTTCTGTGGCTTTGTGAACATCCCAAGACAGCTTCCCCCTCTCCACCCACCCCCAGGAAGTTTATAAAATAGGGGGTTTATCTTTTCCTACAAAGACAGCGATGGGATTTCCTTTGCAACAGCAGAACAGTCTCCCTGCGAGGTAGAGAGTTAATTTCAGGGCTGACAGATCCTAAATTCAAACCAGTTTGTTCTAGTTGAGGTAAAATTCAGTAGTTTATAGTAAGTTTTGCAATGCCAGAGGGCCATCAAGATTCCTCATTGCCGGAGTCATCCTCATCACCGTAACAGCTCTCTGCTTCCTCCTCCATGTCATCATCCTCATAATAGTCATCATAAAAGAGGTCTGAGCCCTCATCTGGGGCTGGAGTCTTGGTCTTCACACAGTACTCAGCCAGCGTGGTGGGGACCTTCACTCCGTCCCGCTCAGCGTCCACCTTGGTGCCCAGCACCTGCTTCCTGGAGGGTGACAAGTGGGGGGTGAGAACAGAGCTCTGCACCACAGCCCTCCAGAGCCCGTGTCCCACAGGATCCCAGCACAGCAGCGCTGCCAGGGCCAGGCTCAGCACGCACCTGATGATGTCTGTGTACTCCCGGTCCTTCCCTTTGCTCTCCTTCCACTTGCGGTACATCACGGAGGCGTCCACGTTGGCTGGGGAAAACGTGTTGGGCTCATTCAGCAGTGAGATCACGCTCAGCAGAATGGTTCTGGTGTGGACAAACATGAGCAGGTCAGAGCTGAGGCGGCCCAGCAGCACCCCAGCAGTGCCAGCAGCCCTGCTCTGTCTGTGGGAAAGCCTTGTGCTGTCCACAGCAAGAGAGGTCCCAGCAAAGGGGAGCAGGCCAGGAAGAGAACAGCAGCACACGGGCTGCTGGGCTTACACTCATCCACACACAAGCTCTGGCTGTTCTTCAGCCAATCCCACAGCTTGAGAGCCTTCACCATCCCCCTGGCACCTCCTGCAGGCTTTGGGAGCAGGAGGCTGTCCTCACCCTCCCACCTTGTCCTCCCTGCCCCAGGATGAGCCTCCTGCCCGCAGAGCCCCAGCCCTCACCGCACGTTCTGGGTGGGGTTCCAGCGCTCCGATGGCAGCTCCCCGCTCTGCGGGTCATCCACGGGCGGGTGCAGGATGGAGATGCAGACATCACCTGTCTGAAAGCACAAGAGAAACAGGATCCTCAGGAGCTGCTGCCTCAGGATCTCCTCGCTCGCTCTTCCCTTTGGCTGGAGCCAGGTGAGGTGACCCCAGCTGTCCCTTCAGTCCCATAGGAGGGACACAAAGTGCACAAGCACCCCATGACTGCCAGCACTGTACAGGTCAGGCTGCCCAATGCCCAGCAAGCTGTGCCCCTGGCGTGGGCCCCAGGGCCAGGCACGTCGCTCGCCCTGCAGCCACTCTTGGCATAGGCACAATGTCCCCAAGCGTGGGAGCCATCAGGCCTGCAAAGCCTGGCTGACCTGGAACCTGCTCTGGGACAGCAAAGAAAGGGCTGTCGTGAGCTCATTAGCAGCGTTCCCTGTGCCAGGCACTCATCACCAAAGGCACTGAGTGTCCAGTGCCAAAGGCTGGCATTTGCATCCAGTGCCATCACAACAGAGGCACACGTGTCCACCAAGTGTCCAAGAGCCCCCTCGCTGTCCCAGGGGTCCTACCTCATAGATATTGGGGTGCCACATCTTGGTTAGGAACCTGAAGGCAGGAGGAGAGTAGGGGTAGTCGATGGGAAAGCGGAGACGAGCCTGCAAGGGAACAATAAGGAGACGTGAACACAGGTTGTGAGAAGGAAGGGATGGAAACCACAGAGCCTGTGACAGCTCTGGGAAAAAGGAACCTCTGCCAAGCCCAGCTGGGCACCTGCTGGGACAGAGCCTCTGCACCAGCTGGCTCTGTGGGCAGGACACCGGCCCCAGGTGACACTGTTGAGTCAGGGATGGAAAGCAGACTCCAGTCTTCAGGTGGATCAGAAGGCAAAAGCGTTTAATGAAAGCAGTGGGTCTTTTATAATGTGGCTTGCTAAGGTGGTACTTGATTGGTCTCAAAGTAGAAACATCTCACACTATTGGTGAACTATGAATAGCACACTCTGGAGAACCGTATCTATAAACAACAGTTACAGAAAGAGAGATAATAATTGGTTTAATTATTTCCTCTAAGATTCCCAGGCTCAGTCTGGCAGAAATTCTCTCTGTTCTTTCTTTGACTGAACTGAGAATATCCACACCCAGGGGCACCCTCTCACCACAGAGAGTGGGGTGAGCAAAGGGGCTGTGACCAGCAGCAGCTCCTTGCCCCCCATCCTGCCCATCCCCTCCTGTCCAGCAGGGCCCTCTGGTGCTAACCCAGTGCTCTCCAATGCAGAGGAACCAGCAGGAGCTCGTGGTGTTGGCACCCAGCACAAACCCCACAGTAGCACGTGGAGCCAGGCAGAGAGCCTGGGTCGCCCCCAGAGCTGCTGTCAGGGCCAGACCATGGCTGTGCCCCTGGAGGAAAGGCTGTTTACTCTTCAGAGCTCACAGGAAGGAAGCATCAGGTGTTTGGTGCTCTGATGAACACACCAAATCTAAAAATAGCCTGTCACTGCTGAGAAGAGACCCAGTCCAAACTGGCCGCAGCACACAGCTTGGGGGCTAAAAATAAAATCACATGAAGCTCAGGCTGCAGCCCAGGGCTCCAGCAGGGACACTCAGCCACCACCAGCTCCTCCCACAGCTGCCAAACCCACGGGGCTGAGGCTGGGCAAGGAGGGGGCACAGTCCCCCTCTGTCCATCTCTGAGTGAAGCCTGAGGGGCCACAGGGACCCACAGTCCTCAGAGGAATGCCCCAGCCCACCAGCACCAGGAATCCAAGAGGATGGGGGCAGCTTCTCCCTGAGTGGCTGCACAATTTCCCAGTGACTGATTCAGCTTTCAGCTGTTTCCAGGCCCTGGGAGCAAACTTCCAGATCAAGACTCAACATGACAACTCCCTGAACGCTTCTTGCTCCCCCAGTTACGTAAAAGAGAATCCAGACACTGGTTCTGTGGCACAGGGGGTGGGAAGAGGGACAAGTGCGGTGGGGGCCGTGTTGTGTGTGTGGAGTGCAGGGCAGTGACACTCAGCCCCGTGCTGGGCTCTGGCCAAACAGCTGAACATGGCAGAATAATCCCCTTTGTTGTGTCAGAGGGGATCAGAACAAAACCAGCCAAGGCCAAGCGATGCCAAAGGGGGCTTGGACAGCAACAGCCCCACCCTGCAGTGCACAAACAAGTTGGTGTCCCCACAGGCTGGGGAAGACTTGGCCCCTCTGCTCTCCTCTTATGCACAGTCTCACCAGCACCCTCAGTGCCGAGTTTGGAAGCTCTCAAGCACACAACAGGAGCACGAGTGGCTGAAAGGGTGAGAGTTCAGAGGGTCTCATGCTAAAATGCTATGGGGAAAAAAATCCGTCCACTTCAGTGAAGAGATAAAACCTGGCTCTGAAGCGTCAGCTCTGCCAGCCCAGGAAAACAAACACAGCTGACCCTGGGTGACTCACCCCGTGCATCCCCACCCTGACAGCAACAGGATGAAAACACCAGAGCTCCGTGGAGGAGGGAGGATGAGAAAGAGGAAGAAAACAGCTAGCCCAGGTTGCACAATACCTGGGAAGAGCACACACACATCCTGCCGAGGGGGGACTGTGCAGTCCGGCTGCCAAACACCTCAAACTCCAAACCAAGCCACGACACTCACTCCCCAGCCCAGCTCCCTGCTCCCACCCTGGGCTGTCTCTGTCTGCACTCAGGGGACTTTTGTCTCTTCCCTCCGGTCTGGTGGCAATGCCGTGGATCCCCTCCAGGAGAGGGAACCTCCGTGACCTGGAGCCCACTGTCTGCACCCTCAGACCGGCGGGACAGGGGGGTGATTGAGGCCACCCCCAATGGGACCGAACGCTCCTCACAACGAAGGGGACCCTCGGTAGTTTGGCAGCAGCTACCTGCGCACCAGCTCCGTGCCAGGAGCACCCCGAAGCCCCTGGGACCCCCAGGTGTCCAGTGAAAGACCCAACTCACGACCCCCACACCCACCCGGGACACCCCCCTCATCCACAGCCCCCTCACAGGGTCTCACCCCTTCCGAAACTCTTCCCAAAACACGCAGCACATCCCCCGACACCGCCTGCTGTGCCTTCGCCGCCCCCAGCCCCGTCTCCCCTCACACCCCGAGCCTTCCCCGCTCACCTTGAAGTAGCCGCCCTCGTAGTGCGTGTCCGGGGGGCCGAAGATGGCCACGTCCCAGGTGTACAGGTCCCCTTCGTCCACCAGCCTGACCCGGAACCCCTCCACGGGCTCCTCCTGCAGCCCCTTCAGCTCCAGCAGCAGCGCCTTCTGCGAGCTGGGCACGGGGGGCCGCGCCATGCCGGCCTGCCGGGGCTCTCGGGGGGCGCAGCGGCCGCTCCGGGGCGCGGGGGGGCGGCGGGACCGGGGCCACGCGGGGCGCGGCGGGGGCTGGCGTCCCGTGAGGGGCGTGGCTAATGCGGGCACCGCCCCTACGGGCGCCGCTGGCCAATCAGAGCGCGGGGCGGGTGATGGGCGGGGCGGCTCCGCCGGTGCCTCCGGTCGCACGGAGCGAATCCAGCGATGGGCGGGCGCCCCGGGGCTCCCCAGCACAAGGAATCCCGGCCCTGGTCAGCCTGCGGGTGGCACACCTGTGTGACAATTCACCTGGAAGAGCAGAGGATGCTCAGCCCAGCGATGCCTCCGGCATCCCCGGCAGTTCCCGGTGTGTCACATCCCGTCAGCTGTGCCTGCGTCAAGGAGCCGCCACCCGCAGCCTCACCCGGACCAGCACCGCGTCCTGCCTGCAGGGAGCAGAACATCCGCCCAACACAACACCCGGAGCCCGCGGGGATCCTCCCACTGGCTCTGCCACAGTCCCGCACCTGCTGCCAACACTAACCCCCGGGCACGGAGCGTGCCTCAGGGGTCTGGGCACTTCTGCAGCTCATCCTGGCACTTCATGCTGCCAGGAGGTAAGAAACTGGCCACTAAAAAATAATAAAAAAGCTTTAATGTCTTACAGCAAACCAGGAATTGAACAGTATAAATAATGATCAGACAAGTTTAAATAAATAACCCCCGGCCCGACACGCAGCTGGTCCCGGGGGAAGGGGATGTGTCTCATCCAGAGCCTGCACTCCACATCCCAAACCACCTGAGCCCTCCCCAGCTGCCCCTGTGCAGCCACAGCCCAGCCCCACATTTTGTTCCTCCCATGTCACTTCACTGCCCAAAGCAGCTCTGCGGGTCACAGCCTCCGTGCGAGTCCTGGATAACCCTGAAAGGGATCTCCCAGCACAGCTGGGCCAGGGGAGCCACGCAGGGACACGGAGCTGCTGGGCACCATCAGAGCAGGGCAGGGAGTGTGGAAACTGGGAATCTCTTGCTGGGCACAGCAGGGCTCTCCAGCCAGCACCCCGTGCTCACGTCCAGCTCGGAGAGGGGCCCTCAGGGCCGGCAGCGCCCGCAGCCATCACTCCACGGGCTTCACCTTCGCTATGAACAGAGCTGTGGCTTTCCTCAGGAACTCCTCCCTGCTCATGGACGAGCCCAGCTTCCTCTCCTGCAGCGCCTGGTCCATGGCCAGCGCCAGCCTGTCGGGGCCCAGCCTGGAGCCGGCCTCCAGGTAGCGGGCGGGCCGCGAGCCGTGCCCGGCGCCCAGCGCGTCCTCCAGCGCCCGCAGCACGGCCTGGCACAGCCGGCTGTCCGCCGAGTCCCCGGCGCCCAGCACGGCGAACAGCGCGTCGGCCTTGGCCGCGAACTCCAGCAGCACGCAGCAGGTGAGGACGCCGTAGCGGAACACGTCGAACGGGACGGCCTCGTGGTCGCGGCAGCGGACGCGGCGCAGCAGCTCGGCCGCCGCCTCGGCCGGGGCCGCCCCGCGTTGGCAGATGCGCCGCAGCAGCTCGCTGTAGAGCCGCCCGTCCACGCCCGCCGCCCGCCGCCGCCCGCCGCACCCCAGCACCTCGTAGGCCGCGCCGGCGTTGCTGTCGAAGGCCGTCCTGTCGCGACAGGGCACAGACACAGAGAGGCGGCCTCGCCCCCCGTCCCCGCCGCCCCCCGCCGCCGCCGCTCGCCGCACCTGTGCGAGTGATGAGCCAGGCACACGTACCACAGCGCCCGGGCCAGGCGCTGCGGAGGCCCCGGGGGCTCCGCCGCCGCCTCCGCCAGCACCAGCCGCTCGAAGTACTCGGCCAGGAAGGACACGGGCTCGGCGGGACGCGCCTCCAGCACCTTGAGCAGCGCCTCCCGCACCATGGCCGTGACGCCGGCTCGCAGCAGGAACTCCGCCGCGCTGCCCTCCGCCGGCCCGCCGCCCCCCGGCGCTGCCCGCCCCGGCTCCGGCAGCTCGCTGCCCCCCGCCGGCACCGGGGCGGCGGCCGCTCGCCGCTTCTCGTACACCGCCATCTTGGACCGCACTTCCGCCCGGGCCGGAAGTTTTTGTGCCGCCATGTTGCACGCGGGCAGCCAATCGGTGGGCAGGAAGGCTGCGCGAGAACGCCGCCATTGGGCGAGGCCGCTGCCGCCATCTTGAATATGGGCAAAGGAGCGCTGTTTTTAACGCTGTTGGCGCCGCGGCCGCCATATTTACTGCGGGCAGATGCCCCGCCCTTGGCAACCGGGCGGACGCCGCCGGTGCCCGGGGGCCGATGAGGGGCCGCGGGACCGGGGCCGCCCAGGCCCAAAGGACACTTTTCTGAGGGCTCGAACAGAAATAGCTCTTTATTGGAGCACCGGTCCCACCCGCGCGCCGAGCTCACGCTCCCCCCGGGACCTTGTGTCGTGACAGACAAGCGGCCTTCGTGCTCCCGCCCGTCCGCTGGTGCCGGGAGCCGCACGCACCGGACCCAGCCCGGTGTTCGGTGCCAGCCCGCGGGGATCCAGTCCCGGACGCGTCCCTGGCCTCGTCCCTGTGTCGCCTGTGCTCATTGCCCTCCAGGCTTTGCCTGCCGCGGCAGCTGCTCCGCTCCTGCTCCTTCTTGCTGGCCGGGGCCAGAGGCCAGCGACAGCCGGGGGACAGCAGGGACACGGCTGGAGGGCCAAGGCCACCAGCCGGCTGCTCCCCCTCTAGGACAGCTGCTACCGAGATCTGAATCGTTTCCACAGGCGTCGAGACACGGCAGCGGTCAGGATGAGCCCCAAGAGCGATCCCGCTGTGCCCATGGCAATGGCAGGGCTGGAGCTGAAGGAATCTGCAAACACACGGAGCTGTCACTGCAGCCCGGGCGGGAAATGCCGAGGGGTGGGAGAATCACAGAATTCACAGAATTCACAGGATCACTTGAAGAGACCCTCAAGATCATCGAGTCCAACCCAACCCCAACACCTTAATTTAACCATGGCATCGCCCCAGCACCACCCGCGGCACGGACACGAGGGGCCGCAGCCCACCCGAGCGATGAGGACAGGGGTCTGCAGGTCACCACCACTCACCATCCACCACCAGCACCTCCAGGCTGACCGTCTGGGCGCGGTGGCCGAGCAGGACGCACTGGTAGTGGCCCTGGTGCCAGGGCTCGGCGCGGTCCAGCCGCAGGGCAGAGCTGCTGCCCGCCGCCTCCTCCCGGTACTGCGACAGGGCTGCGGGGGTCCGGAGCCAGCCCACCGTGGCGTTCCCGGTGCACTGAGCGTGGCACTCGATGCGCAGGGCTCTGCCCCGTGTCCCCGTGGGAGGCAGCGACCTGATCTGCAGGCTGCAGGCGGGCATTGTCCCCACGGGTGGCCCTGTCGCTGCTGTGCCACAGCCAGGGAGGGTGCTGGTGGCCACACCTGCCGTGTGGCTGCCTGCCATGAGGTCCTGGGGCACAGAGGGCTCCGTGGAGCGGGGGTTGGTGACAACAGCAAGATCCAGAGTGGTGGCAGTGCTGGGCTCCCGTGCTGTGGTGGGATCACTGGCAGGGACACCAGGCCCTGGCGGGAGTGCTGTGGTGGCCACGGGCCTGGCTGTGCTGGGGCTCGCCGTGGAGGTGGCCATGGCTGCTGTCATCACAGCTGCAAACACAGCAGCCTTGGTCACAGGGGACCTCGCTGCAGCCCCAGGCTCCTCCAGCCCTGGGCACAGCGAGCAGGAGCCAAGGGGCACTGCCAGGAGGGACAGGGTGGGGATGGGACATCCAGGAGCGGTGCAGAAGTGGGGGCTGCTGCTGTTGCTGCTTGGCAGAGCTACTCCGAGGAGCACAGGGCAGTGGGGGCTGGCTCCAGGGGATGGGCTACATGCGGGTTGGGGTCCCCAGCCTCTCCTGGCACTCACCCTCAGCGCTTGCCACCAGAGATGCCACCCGGGTGAAGGTCTCCTGCCCGACGTGCAGCGTCACCTCGCACCTGAACTCCACCCCTTCTGCCACCTCTGTGCCGCTCACCGACAGGGTGGAAACGACGTTACACAGCTCCTCCTCATCGGCATCCTTGCAGTCAACGTCTGCAAGGTTCTCCAGCACCTGGTGCCCCCGGTACCAGGTGAGGGCCAGCCCAGTGGGAGGATACAGGTGCGTGGCCGAGCAGGTCAGGCTGGCGGGGTGTCCTGGGCGCAGGATGTGGGGAGCTGCCTCCAGCCTCAGCGTGTCTGGGAGGGCTGGAAGGGAGTCAAGGCAGCGTCAAGGGTGATTTTTGGCAGCACAGGAGGAAAAGGGCTGCCCTGGGGATCCAGGGCTGTGCTGGGAGGCAGTGAGGGATGGGCTGGGGAGTGTTTACCGTAGACCTTCAGTGTGACAGTTTTCTGGTAGTGCTGCCCGTGGCATTTGCCCTGGCAGATCTTCATGCCCTCCGTGGCCACGGTGGCGTGCCTGATGTGCAGGATGCTGTGGGTGGAGAAGGAGGAGATGGTCCCCAGGGCGGTGTCCAGCCCCCTCCACTCCACCTTGCCCCCTGCGCAGGCCAAGGAGCAGTTCAGCTCCGTCGAGCCCCCAAACGGCACCAGCGGCTCCCGCGGTGTCACCACCAGCCTGTCAGCGGGGCGACCTGGGCAGGAGGAAAGTGCAGGGTCAGGGGAGGGGACAGTCCCCAGCGCCCCGCAGCTCTGAGCGCGGCGACAGCAGCGACAGGGGACAGGGTGGCTGTCACAGGGAGGTCCTGGGGCCGTGGGAGAAGCAAGGAGAGCAGCAGGGCAGGGCAGCACGGGGGGTTAGGGTGGCTCTTGGCCCCGTGGCACTCACCGCTGCAGCCCCACAGCGAGCCCAGGAGGAGAAGGACAGGAGCCGGCTCCATCACCCACAGGGCAGCAGCAGGGCTGGTTTTCCCTTCTTCCCTTCCTTCCCCCTTTCAGGGAGCGGGTGCTGCTGGCCGGGGCTGTCTCCTTCTGGCGGCCGGCTCCAACCTCAGCCCTTCTTAAGCCCTGTAGGAACCGCCCCCGTGAGCACCGGCCCCGGGACCTCCACGACTTCCCGCCCAAGGGGTATTTCCAAAGGGAGGTTTCTGATTTTCTTCCAAGTTCGGCCCTTGCACAACACCCAGCCGACGGCCAAGCCGGCAGCCCCCCCAAACCTGGGAAATTCCCTGTCCTGAAGGATCTCTGAGTGGCTGCAGGGGCTCCCATCACCCCAGCAGGGAGCCCTGCACAGGCACTTACACCCCGAGATGTGGCTCAGATCCAGCTCTATCCCTGTTTTTTGCAGGCTACATAACTCCCCCAGGGGTCCTGGCAAACCAGCTTTTCTATGACTCCAAGAGCTGCTGGGGACACAGAGCTGTGGAAAGGGCCCTGCCAGCCCCTGCCCCAAAAGCAGAGCCAGGGCCCGCGGTCAGCCCAGCTGGTGAGCTGATTATCCCTGTTTATTCCTCAAACAGGGATTTTTCAGGGATGGAGGCAGGTGTTCCTGTGAGGGTTGGTCTCGTGGTACAGATGGAGAAAGTGTCACCCCAGAGAAGGTGCTGAACACCTTGCATTACCCAACCTCAAGGCCCTCAGCATCTGTCCTGGGTCCCTGCCGGGTCTGGATCACTCCCTCATTCCTGCCCAGCTCCCCATGGAGGGATGAGTCCTGTTCTGCCCCATCCCACCCTGCCAGGCTGCAGCCAAGGCTGGGGAAGGTCCCAAAGGGCTGAGGGAGGGATGTGCCCATCTCTGCACCCAGTGTCATCACAGGACCAGGACATTCCCCAGCTGGGAGCTGCTCTGAGAGGCAGCAGCGTGCACTGGGCGTGCCACTGATCCTTTTAGAAGGTCATGCCATTAATTCTCTTGAGGGTGCAGGAGGCCTCTGAGCAAGGAAAGTGCTCTGTAAACACTTCCCACCAAATGTGCACACTCAGCCGAAGCAGGTGATTAATGATGCTGGGCTTTTTGTTCCTTCCATCCTGTGTTAACAGAGCCACTTCCCGGATTTTCCAGCAGCCTCCAGAGCCCCCCTGCCCAACCCTGGCACAAGCCATGGCCAGGGCTGCTCCCACACTGCCAGGCTCTTCCCAGAAATTTGTCTGGGAACCTTGAGGACACACACGTGGTGCCAGGGTTTCACTTCCCTGATTGTGGCACTGGTGTGATGAGAAAACACCTGAATCAGTGTCTGAATGAGAGCTGAGCATTGATGGAACCACCTCACCTTAAAAAGAAGCTTGCCCAGACATTCCTGAACCTCAAGAAATTAGCAGTAACCAGAAAGCCCCACAACTTGTGCTGCACTTTCTCTGTTTTTGGGCTCGGAGTGCCCAGAGCAGCCCCAGCCACCCACAGAGGGGGCAACACAGAGGAAATTGGAGTAAAAACCTGACAACCATCCAGTTCCAATGGCTCAGCCACACAGCCAGGGGCAGGTCAGGGGACTTGGCCCAGCTCAGGGTGACGTGGCAGAGCTGCCCTTGCTCACCCTGAGTGGTGGACCCACCACAACCCCAGTTCCTCCACATGCTTGGTGGAATTGAGACCTTCCCCCAGCCCCGAGGAGCGCAGGAACAGCTCAGAGACATCCCCAGGTTGCGTGCAAAAGGGCAGAAGGAGCAAGCTTATGCACCAGGAGTGTTTTCCAGCCCACAGGAAGCCTTTGAAGGAGTGAAGGGAGTGCTGCTTTTCCACACTCAGGGGCCTGAACACCTTTCCTGGAGGCCGACTGCGCTTCCTCCCTCAGGGCAGGCACGGGGATTTGTGGTGGGCAATACTTTGTCCAGAGATGTTGCTCAGGAAACAAAACAGCTCAGTGTGGAGACACAAAGCACCAAGGGACGAGTGCTGGCTCCAGCACAGGATACCCCTCGGGTTGGGGTCTAGCCCCAGGCTGTCACCAGAAGGGACAAGGCTTTGCCACTGCCCCGGGGGGAGGGTGGTCAACAACATCCTGCACTGCAACACCTGCCCTTTGTTCTCCAGCGCCATCACGTGAGACAAGTCACAGGTTTTCTCTCAATTAAAGATGGAAACAATAAAACAAAAGCTAGTTCCAGTCTAGAGGAAATCCATACAGAAGCAACAGGCTGTGTAATGGCTCGTGTTTCCAGGATACCATCCATCAAGCACCAGTTCCCATCCCAGAGCTGGCTTGGATGTGTTTATATTTTTTGGGATTATGTTAGTCATTTATGACTGTCCTCAGATGCCACAAAGAGTGTTTAAATGAGTCAGATAAGATCTAAATTAGGCCTGGCTGAAAAATTAAGACAATAGAGTCGGGGTTACTAAAACCAGTCCAGGAGGAGATTGCAGTGGGGCAGGCAGGAGCCAGGGAGCTGCTGGGGCAGGGACTGGCAGCCCAGACCCAGCTCTCCCAAACCTGTCCCACATCTTCACATAATTCTCAAGGGGAATTTAAATTCTGGGCAGAAGCTGCCTGGTACCACTGGTGATGGAGAGAAATAAGGACAGAGACCTTTGACACAACAGGGAAGCAGCAGTTTAATAAATAATCCATCAGAGGGAGAGATTAGCCAGTTCCAAACACAACCTGAACCAAAATAAATACATTTTATAGTTAGCTTAAAAAAGAGACACAAACACACGTGATGGTGGACTGTGAGAGAGCAGAGGTGGGGCCGAGTGCCCACGCTTTAAAGATACCACAGCTGTCAACAGCCTTTGGAATGCAGAAAAAGAATAAAAACAGGGAAGTAAAAAGTTACTGCTTTGCAAAATTAATGGCAGAAGAGAAAGCAATGGTGTAACTCAGGTTTTTAATGCAACAAGATCAGATGAAACTCACTTGACCTGCCAGGACTGCTGACAGGTAATTGAGATGATTTTTGCCTTGTGTTTGGGCGTTGCTGTTACCATCCCAGGTTTTAAGTCCCTGCAGACAAATCCTGGGAATCCCAAAGTTAAACAGCCAGGCTCAGGCACTGCACAGCAGATCAAGCAGGTTTTAAGAAAAGATTCCTTTTTAAAAAGTTGCGTTTTCATATAAAGTAACAAGAATTGGCAAAAACTAGCTGAATGCTCCACACAGCCTTTCCAGCCTCCACGTGGGACGCTGCAGAAGCACCAGCCCTTCAGAACAAGCTGTTCTTCATTTGGCTCTGGTAACTTCAGCTCCAGCACTGCCTGGCCCAGCTCCTGCTCCGTCCCACCAAGGCAGAACAGGGCAGGGCTCACAGCCCTGCGCCGAGGGAAGGGGAGGCACTGGGCCAAGGCCCCACCAAACCAGGTGAGAGGGACCCCACCAGGGTGGGAAGGGATCCCTGCTTGCTCCCTGCACCTCAAAGAGCCCCTGCTGCCAGGTCTGCACACCAGCACAAGCCACATTTCTGTTGGTGATGGCACCTGGAGAGGTCCTGCTGCTGCCTGGTGCTGTACCCCCCTCCACCCACCCGCTGCCATATCCCCACCCCAGCTGCCCAGAGCTGTAACCCCCCTGGTGCCCAGAGACAGCACAGGTGACAGCACAGCTGGTCACCAACCAGGTCACAGCCCCTGAGCTGGCAGTCACCTTCTGGCAGCACCTGGCCCCGAGTTTGGGGGCTGACAAAGGGACCAAAACACTCCAGGGCCACGATGCACGTGTCAGCATCACCAGAAGCTCAGGGGTCACATCGTGAGGGACGTGACCTGGGAGGGAAGATTCCGGACAGTTCTGGGGTCTGAGGGGAAGGAGAGGCTGAGAGCTGCAGGCAGCAGCAGTGGTGAGAGGGAATGGGACCAGAAACACATTGGTTTCAATAAACTATGCAATAAGGGAGAGGACTTTTAAAAATATATCTCTATATACTTTATATCATATAAATTATGCTTGTCTTTTTGTAACGTGTCGCTATATTGTACCCGTGAAGCTCTGAGGTAACAATTCTATATTTTACTTCATCTGTGTGTGAGGGAAAATCCTACTTCAGCTCACTTTAACCCACGTAAATCAACGGATTGCTGGGACTCTGGAAAAGTCCCGTCTCTATAAAAGGCATTTTTGTGAGGAACAGAGGTGAGGGAACTACTGGCTGGAAGTGCAAGTGACAGGATTTCCTTCAGGATAAAAGCTTGCCATGCACACACAGTACTGACCATCCCACTAATGTCTGGGAATTGGGAGTGTCACCACAAGGAGCTTGGGAAAAATGGAGTCACAGCAGGTCAAGGAAGTTTCTGCTGGCTCTGCTCCCCAGACCCGCAGCCAGACCCATCTCAGCATCCCTCTGTGTCCCAGCTGCTCCTAACTCTGAGCACAGAGCTGCCACCAGGCCAGATCAATGCAGAACAAACTGCCAACTCTTTCATTTAAATACCCACCTCGGATAACCAAATGGCATTTGCAGTCACTGCTGTGTGTCTGCAAAGATCCACTGCCTCCCTTTTGGCTGCTCTCCCCTGGGTAACCTTCCCCAAACCCACAGAGAGGGGATCCCAGCCAGAGAACAGCCAAGGCAAGACTGCTTTGGCTGCTGCACCCTCAATTCCTCTAACAAAAGATTCCTGAAGCGTCCTTGGTTTGGTCCTTACTTCCCAGAACTGCTCAATGCCACCACTTCTTATTTACTCAAATGAGAACAATTGTTTCCTGCCCTCTGCCACATTTCTATAAACAACCACACATTCCCTGTTTGCCTCAGCTCCTTTCACAATGCTCCAAGCACCTCCTGCTCTTTCTGAGCACAGCTGAGCCTGTAGCAGAGGTTGCAGTTCCACTGTTCCATAAACAAAAGCCTCCACAGCAGGCTCAGAAATGCCACATGGAATCCAAACCCCTAAGTCCAAATCAACAAAACCTTCACCATCAGGATCTATTGGGTTGAGAACAAACCAGCTCTGGACACTCTGGGTTTAGCATCAGATGATAGGAGCCCAGGAGTAAACCAGCATGCTTTATACAATGCTCAAGGTAAACAGTCATTTCTCTGACCTTTCTCCCAGGAAACCACTCATCTCCAAAGTGCTCAGCACAGCCAAGCTGTTTCTCCAACCTGCCAGAGAATTGTGTGTCCTAAACAACCCTCACAGCTCCAGGAAAAGACTTCTGAAAAAGAAAAGATTCTTCTACCTACTGCCCGTGGAGGCAACAGGCAAATGCCACCTCAGAGTGACAAGAAAAAGAAAACCAAGCAGAACCACA